CTATAGTAATTTATATATAAAACTGCGTCACATTATACTATAATCATTCTTCTGTTCACTGGAGAATCATCAATTAATTTAAATAACACATGATAATACTAATTCAGTAATGTTAAGTGCAGAAAGATCAGATATTGATATTGCTAATAGTAATAATAATATTAGTTCATTAGATAAAACACAAAATGAGTATTTAGGTGAAGATAATAAAGAAATTGAAGATAATGAAGAATGTGACTTAACTTATATTTCTGAGATGGAATTTGGTGAGTATCTTCAAGGATGGGTAGAAATGTTGAATAAAGAGGAAAAAGCAGATATAATCAAAGATCAAAATGATCTTGTAGAGTTAAATAATAGTACTTATCTGGCTCTAGATAAAGATGCAAAATAGCAATTATCTGATTTATTTTGTTCATTAGATCTTCTATTTCATTAAATTTAATAAGACAAATAATATTTTAAGTTGATTATAATTGTCAAAATGATATCAGAATAGTAGAAAAAAGATAAATAGTAGTAAAAATAAATAGGTTATTCAATTTATTATTATTATTATTTTTTATTATAAATTTTGCTCTATAATAAATTATCTTCATTTTATAGTAAAAAAGATCACAATATTTAGAATTTGATTATAAGGTTATCAATACGGGTTTAGATAGTATGGCTAATTAGTCTTTATTAAAATGGCAAACACCTAATCAATAGCAATAGTATAAAAAAAAAATTTAAAGACAGTTTCTTATTTCAGAATTAATACTAATTAGTTATATTTAAAATCACATTTTTTACGCAGAGAACCATGATAAAAACGGTCAGACCCAATGCACAGGACAGACTATAGCACTCTTCGCACTGTAAGAACCGGGCTTAAAACGGCGAGCGCCTCTGCAGAAGACTATTTGTCCAAATCATCATCAACATCTTTAGACTTCTATGACTTGGATGCATGCTACAACAAATATTTACTACATCATAAACTTCCTCTTCTTAAAGTACCTCAAACTCTTTAATCCTTTTACTCTCATCTCAATACTCATGCACTTCACCTTAAAAAATTCGCTGCTATTTCACTATCTAAAGACAGGAAAGAAGCGCATGTTTATCTACCACATGAGACCTAATTACTGCCAAATCATATTCTACCATTAACATTCAATACATACAACATACC